TTCAGCAGGGAGCTTCTGGCTCTAGACCTCTCGCGCTGGTAATCAGACAGTGGGAAGGGCTTTAATCGCCTTAGACTTGCTCATTCACATATCTGGTGCATGGGCTGGGAAAATTCAAATGGCGTGGGAAAGCTGGGGCTCCTCTGCTGACTCTATCACTATGTGGCCTTTCCAGCATGGCAGCTTCCTTTGTTAGTTCCAAAGGTCCAAAGAGAGGCAAGTAGATGCTTTACCTATGCCCCTCAAAGTAATAATTGAGTGATGTCCTGATAAACCCATCCTAAGTTATAAATATCATAAGTCAAAAATGCATTTAATACACCTTTGCTACCAAACATCATAGCTTAACTTACCCTACCTTCAACATGCTTGGAGTGTTTTCATTAGCCTACAGTGGATAGCACTGTCTAACACAAAGTCTGTTTTATAATAAAAATGTTGACTAGCTCATTATCATTTCTTGCATACTGTACTGAAAGTAAGAGAGCAGAATATTTGTGTGGGCACTCAAAGTATGGATTCTATTGAATGTATATTCCATTTGTCCCATGACATCATAAAGTTGAACCATTGTAAGTCATAAAGTTGAACCATTGTAAGTCAAAGACTGTGTATTCCTTTCGTGGCTAAGCTTTGAAGTCCATCAGCAGCACTTCCTCAGAAATTCTTTAGAAGCAAGTCTCCAAGACTGACCCATGTTCAAGAGGATGGGAGCTCTGCCCTTTTTGAAGAGAGATATGCCAAATACTTTCTAATGTATTTAAAAACTACCAAATGATGTATCAGACTCCTCCTTGTCAAAAGGGTAGCAGTGTATCAAACTGTTCAAACTCACGTCTGATGTTGGTGGTCTTTCAAGTGAAGAGGGATGATCATCAAGCTTAAGTGTGGAGAAGAAAGAAAGGAGCGATTAAGAAGAATTATGTGTTTGACTTAGCTTTTATATATATATGATCAGTTACTTAATTAGGTTCTTGGCAAAAAAATTAGATTGTGAGGATAAACTCCATTTGTCAGGGCAAACACGGATCGCAGGTAGCCCTGGAGCTGAGGAACAGCTTTGATTTTTGGTAAAATTTGTGACTCCACAGCTTTCTGATCAGCCTTGCACTGCTCTGAAATCTCGTATTTCTCCTTCTCTGTTTCCAAGATCTCACCTTCCTGGTGTCTGTGTTTCCACAGTTTCTTTTTCTTGAAGTAAGCATTGGTAAGGTGCTTTGGGATTTTTACTTTGCTAATATCAATTTTTGTGGAGGTGGCAATGACAGATTTCTGGTGTGTTCTACGCAGTGGAACTCAATTGAGAACCTGAGCAGTCCAGTTACAAGTAACAAGCTAATGCTCAGCTGCTTCAGGAAAACACTCTCCTGCCTCTGT